GTTTCTGATAAGCAGTCACCGTCCACATCAACCTGCCCAGTGTTTGATTGTTAGTTGTGTCTTGCTGCTTTTCTTCTTTTGTCTCTCCTCTATCCACTCACCCCAACAGGTCGAGGCAGAAGGCCACCCACCAAGAGCCGGGGTCTATCGGAGGTTTCTTCCGTTAAAGGGAGTTTTTCCTCCCCGCAGTTGCCAAGTGCTGCTCAAGGGGGATTTGTTGGGTTTTTCTTCAATAATAATAATAATAACAATAATGACAATAAGGTCTAGACCTCACAATGTTCAGTGCTCTGAGATGCTTTTTGTTGTGATTCGGCACTATACAAATAAAACTGAATTGAATTGAACTGCAAACCGTGACTAGAGGTCAAGAATGGCTCCGAGCTGCTGCCCCACAGCTAAAATTCTCCAGAGATTAAGATTAAGAGCATGACCTCATAAAGCAGTACATAAAACAATGTTCCCATCCTGTAGCCTCAGTTTTATAGTTGTGTCAGCACAGAAGACACAAGAGGGTCCATGAAGACAGAGGTGGCGTTTTGTTGTGGATGAGTATCCTCCTACAAGGCCCCATTTGTGTAAAGACATCAGATTGTTGGGAGGGCCCTGCGTGCACATTATTCATGCTGGGGAAGCCTGACACACTGCCAAAAACTGAAGTGGATACTATTCATCCCCCAGAGCTGTTAAGGCGTGCGTGCCGCCCCCATTGCCATGGTGATTATGAGCTGACCTCTCTGGGTCGCTGCGATTCAGACTATGTCCATTCAGGGTGGGATCAAGGGCGTGAGCTGTACTGATGTGTGTGTGTGTGTGTGTGTGTGTGTGTGTGTGTGCGCGCACAGGGCTCGTGGTTATGTGGAGGGGCTACTTTTCCACAGCCATTCATATTTTCACATGCGGATCCTGCTGGCCTCTCTGGCCCAATTAACACGCTGCTGAGCCCCAGGAAGGCTCCTCATTACTGTGCAGTCCTAATGAGCTCTCTGTTCTGGAGAATCAAGTGTTTACGGAAGCAGAATGTAGGGGATGTGTATTCATTTCAGACCTCTGGAGGAACTGTGTAAACAGATCTTATAGCTGTGCTGTATGGATTTCCTCCATACACTGAGGAACAGAAAAGCACTAACCAGGGATAGGGGAAAGGGGGGGACTGGTTTTCACATGCACTTTAATTCAAAAATGCTTTGGCAGCTTTCACTCTCACAATGGGGCAGAATTTAAAAACCATCTTCCTGCTAAGATACTTGGGAAACTTGTCAGCTCAGACTTCTAGAAAAGTCTTCCCCAGTGGTTTTGGGTCACGGAGCAGTGAGTGCAGCTGAAACGCACAGCATTCTAAAGCTTTAAAGTATGTTAATCCTGTCAAAAAACAGTACAACCCAAAAGAAAAAGATGTGTACGCAGTCAATTTGAAATAGTCAATAGTTAATAGCCCTTTTTTGTCTAGAAATATTTTATATTTTCCTCATTGTCCCTAAAGCTCACAAAAAGTTTAGGTTAGCGAAATGACAGAGTATTGAGATACATATTTAGACACAAGTTCCCTGAATAACTTATGTATGAACACAAAACCACTGCATTCTTTGGATAATTTAGTGCAGGAATTTGGTGAATTCCATGTGTGAAAGTAGCTACTGTACATCTATGTTTCTTCGGCCCTAGACACTATACAACTTTAACAAAGACAAATAGCTTTTTTCAAACAATGAGTACAGGATATGAAGACACTAATGAAACCTGGACCGATGATGATGATGATGAGTGTGCAGGCTGCATGGAGCCTGTTTAGGTCCCAGGCTCTATAAAATCCATGTGAGAGCTTCCTGTAGTGAGTGCCTCCTGCAGCACAGCCACTTCAAAGACTGCCCTGTATTCTCTTTCTCCCGTGGGAAGTCATTATTGAGTTAACATTAGAGAGGCGCTCTTGTTTTCTCTCCCCTCCCTTGCTCTGTGGTGGGAGAAGCTCAGCCTGCGGTGAATACAAAGCCTCTGTCCAGGAGGGGGAGGGATAATGTTGTACACAATCCAGTCATTACTACACTGCTGTTATGGCTCGCCTTCATTAAGCTGAGGAGAGAAGCTTTTTCAAGGTTGGAAAACTTCTGGTGAGACAAAGACGCCTCCATCTGCCAAAGAGAGAATGCGTATGTACAGTATGTGTGGCGTCTCTGTCTGCGATGGAGCTGAGTTAAATTACAATCTGACATTTCTTTCATCAGGCTCGTGTTCATTGAAAGAGCAGCTCATTCAGCACGTCTGTGCTTTTGAAAACATCTTAGATAAAGCTCGTCTTCAGATGTATAAAACTGTGTAATATGAGCACCAGATTTCCTCAGAGTAATTCGCAAATTGCATCATTCACTTGCTGAAGGGGATAAAAGATGACACTGGGAAAAGTGAGCCGTCCGTATGACTGAATACTGGAACGGTCTGAGGCACTGGACACCACTCTGATTCCAGAAATGAGAAACACAGACGTATTTCTTCAACGAGCTAATGTTCCATGAGTTACTGTACTGTAGAAACAGGTGTGACAGTAATGACAGTGGAATACAGAATGTGCAGAAATCACCCAGCTTTATACTGCTTATTTGGAAAAGAACACTTAGGCACCCATTCAAATTACTAGCCAAGGCATCTGCTGTAAAAGTCCACTGAATTAAACATTTCTGGTGCCATTATCACCATTATCTGGTGTCATGTTATTTCCAAATACCTGCAAAACTAATTACACCTCCATTATTTTGTATTTAGTGCTATTTAGCAAATGTTTCCATACTAACATGAACTATATAATAACATGAACACCAGCTTAACAACGTTAGCATGGTCTTTATGAGTACGTTAGTATGCTAACGTTAGCAAAAGCACTGTCAATACAACAGACGAAAGCTGCTGGCATGGCTGTAGGTTCTTAAGGGGCCAGTACACTCTGTTAGAATTGCTTATCCAGTGGTTATACAGCTTTGGGAACACCCTCACCAGCGTGGGGTGGGGGAGGGCAGCATCCAACCATTTCTATAACTTTCTCCAATGGCCACAGACATTCACACCCACGTCATGCTGTGACCATCCATCTGTATGGAGATGAGAAAGGAGCCAGGATCTGAACTTGTCTCTCTAGCCATTTATTCAATTCATTACATGATTATTTGTGGCACCTGTTAGGTATTTTTAGTCAGATAGAAATTGGATAGATACTTTATGTATTAGAAATGTTCAGTGGAGATAGGATGTCTAGTTAGATGTTAAATGCTTAGTCATGCTTATGAGTTTCTACAGGGTACATCTGGTCAAGGATAACTAGAGAGAAAAGTTGATGACTGTCAGCAGACAGGGTGTTTAATATTATTATTATGATGTGTATAACTGTAGCCTTAGCCAGAATATGTTCTTATGTTTAAGTCACGACATGTACTAGAGGTCGTGTGAGAATGTTTTTAGTTACAC